AAAAATATTTTTATAATTTAAAGTTAAAAATAAAATAAAATTAAAACTTAAATAATTTTTAAATAAATAAAATAAATTTAAAAATTATCTAGATTGTTATCTTAAAATAAATAAATTTAAAAATTATATATATTATTTATTTATTAAATAAATTTTTGTTATTTTTTAAAAATTTTATTTATTAACTTTACAGTAAAGTTAGCCTTACTGTAGCATCCATCCTCTTCTGCCGTCTGTCCCCGCCACTGTTTCTCTCTCTTTCTCTCTCTCTCTTCACCGATCCCCTAAATGTCCAAGCTACCCCCGCAGGTAGAATTGGTTTGTAGGAGGGTTTTGGGGATTTGAGTAAGATTTGCCAAAGACAATGAGTAAGCCAGCAATGCACAAGTTTCTGCAAATAAAACCTTTGATTTCGAGTGAAACCCACTGGAGGGTTACAATCCCTTTGAGAAATCTGCCTTGTCTGATCCGAAATCGCTTCCTTCAAACCGAGGCAATCCCTTCTTCTGCTTCAGAACCGCTCCCTTTGGGATCCGCTCTATCACTCTCTAAGCGCCTCCGAATACCACAAAACAACTCCCCGAATTCCTCATCCGTCCTCAACTGTTTGAAATCCCATGGATTCGAGGATACCCAAATCGCCAAACTGGTTAGGAAACGCCCCGACATCCTCAATTGCAAAGTTCACACAAAGCTCAAGCCCAAGCTTCGATATCTCATTCAAAACGGTTTTACGGGTAAGCTTTTGCCTGACCTCATTTTGTCGAATCCGTTTCTTCTTTTTCGAGGCTTGGATTCTCAGATTAGGCCATCTTTTGAGTTCTTGCGCCCTTTCCTGAATGATGAGGAAATGCTCGTTGCTCTTAAACGAGCTTCGTGGTTATTGACTATTAGTCTGAATTCGGTTTTGCAACCAAATGTTGATTTATTGATTAGTGAAGGGGTTCGTGCTAGTAGGATATCCAAGTTGCTTACATTGCAGCCTAGAGTTCTCTTGCAAAGCCATGACAGGATGGTTTACGCCGTTAAAACTATTAAAGAAATAGGTATTGAACCTAAAGAGACTAGGTTTATACATGCTCTTAGGGTGATTTGTTCCATGAGCGAGTCGAATTGGAAGAAAAAGGTGGAGGTTTTTATGAGTTTGGGATGGAGTGAAGAGGAAGTGTTGAATACTTTTAGGAAAGACCCACTTTGTTTAGCTTGCTCCGAGAATAAGCTTCGGTATTTGATGGATTTTTATGTGAATACTATGAAGTTGGATGCAAGGACTATAATTGCATACCCAAAATTGCTTGGTTTCTCAGTTGAGAAAAGGGTTCACGCCAGGTATATAGTTTTGAAGGCTTTGGAGTCAACGAAGCTGATCAAAGATGACAAGAAGATTGTTTGGGTAATAAAACTGCCTGAAAAGAAATTTTTGGAGGAATATATTGCTAAGCATATGGACAAAGTTCCAGGTTTGTTGGATATGTACCATGGTGCTGTTAAGCCAAGGAAAACAATCAGGGGCAAAAAAGAAAAATTTGATCCCAAATCAGCAAGTTTGGCTCTGTAATTCAGAAACTACCTAGATATTCCTATGCCTTGGTATTGGTTTACTTAAGGTCATGGTTCTTTTGTTGTTTATGTAATCACTAACCTGTTGCTTTATTTTAAATTCTTGCATTTAGTGGAACGCCAGTGGGTATCCTTGATAGCCTGAAAGAGTCATAATGATTTAGCTTCATATCTTACTTTGGATTGAGAAGAATTCTGTCCTCAATCTTTCATTTCTGAGAAAACTTAGGGCCTGTTTAGCTTAAAAACAATTTTCCAATTTTTATTATTTTTCTTGTATTTGATGAAATTAGTTATTCTTTTTTGTTTTCAGTGTTGGAAGTCTGCGATTTCCAGTTTTCTAGCAAATTGGAGAACTCTTAAAAGATGCTTCTGAAACGATTCCAATTCTCTTTCTGAAAAAGGGAAAACAAGGGTTTCCAAATCTGGATACTAAACTTAAAAACACCTTTATTTATTGAACATAAATAAGATAAATGAATTTTGAAAATGAAAGTCATTTTCCAATACTAAATGGGCCCATATTTTTAGTTTCAGGGAGTCATCCATCAAAATTATGAGATTGGTTGCTCCTATTAGCAATGTAATGCCAGTGAAAGCTGTAGTTAGCTTTGGCTTATTGATGACTTGCCGTCATTCAAACTCTTATATTGGCTGTTCTTTTCCACGATGGAATTGGAGAAGGGTTGGAATACATTGTTATAGATTTTTTCTTCAGAAAGTTGCTTGTAGCTTGTTGTTTGTAAACTAATTGTTGAGAACTTGGGTATGTGGTGGTTGCTCGAAAATCTCAAATCTTCTTCTGTACTATTTATTAGTGACTCCCCATTTGTATAAAGCTACTGGTTGTATTGTTTTGTTGATCTATCTTGAAGTTAAAGACAGGAAAAAATAGTCAAAGTGTTCCATTCACTTGGAATTCCCAGTTTTCAGTGAACAGTTATGTATGCAAAGCAAGCTGTTTGGTAATTGAAATGCTCCAGTTGTCTTGTGCATTTCTATCATTTCTTTTCCTACAAAAGCTTAATGTTTCTCTGATTAAAATCTCAGTACATCCTTCCATATATATATAAACAGGGATTGTGCATGACACGTCCCCTTCCACCTTGGCACATCCTGGGTGGGCTCACTGCCAAATGATGATTCATTTTCCCCTGGCTGTTGTAAGGAAATAGGGAAAGATGTAGCTCATTGATGGTGTCTAATGTTGTCTTATCTTGGTGTGCAGTTAAGCAATGTTGCTGTCATATGATATATTTGATGTCCAATTTTGAGCCTTTCCCCTGCATATTTCCATATGGTTATTGGTACTAAAAGATTGATTAAAAACTATTGAAATATAATAATAAATGGTAATTTTAAATGGGGAGAAAAATAATAATTTAATCATATTGAAAATAAATAAAACATATAATTGAAATATCTCAAATTTCACTTTCATTTTTTTTGCTTCTCCCCTCGAGCCGTCCGATCTGGCTTGGTGACGGGGCTGCCCATTGGACAAGGCCTAATTATTAGTATGGGGTTCAAACTTATTGACACAAATCGAATCGGGTTTTAGGAGGGTTTTGCGAATTCGGCCAGCAATGCGCAAATTTCTACAACTAAAACCCTTGATTTCCAGTAAAACCCTGTGGAGGGCTTCAATCCCTACCACAAATCTGCTTTCTCTGATCCAAAAACACTTCCTTCAAACCGAGGCAATCCCTTCTTCTGCTACAGAAGCGCCCGCTTTGGGATCCGCACCTTCACTCCCCAGACGCCTCCAAACACCCCAAACCAACTCCCCAAACTCCTCTTCCGTCCTCAACTGTTTGAAATTCCATGGATTCGATGATACCCAAATGGCCGAACTGGTTAAGAAACGCCCTGACATCCTCAATTGCAAAGTTCACACGAAGCTCGAGCCCAAGCTTCGATATCTCATTCAAAAGGGTTTTACCGGTAAGCTTTTGCCTGACCTCATTTTGTCGAATCCGTTAATTCTTTTTCGGGGCTTGGATTCTCATATTAAGCCATCTTTCGAGTTCTTAAGCGCTTTTCTGAACGGTGAGGAAATGTTGGTTGCTATTAAACGATCTTCGTGGTTATTGACTATTAGTCTGAATGCGATTTTGCAACCAAATGTTGATTTATTGATTAGAGAAGGGATTCCCGCTAGTAGGATATCCAAATTGCTTACATTACAGCCTAGAGTTATCTCGCAAAGCAATGTCAGGATGGTTTACGCGATTAAAACTGTTAAACAAATCGGTCTTGAACCGAAAGTGCCTAGGTTTATACATGCTCTTAGGGTGATTTGTTCCATGAGCGAGTCAAATTGGAAGAAAAAGGTGGAGGTTTTATGAGTTTGGGATGGAGTAAAGAGGAAGTGTTGAATACTTTTAAGATAGACCCTCCTTGTTTGGCTTGTTCTGAGAATAAACTTCGGTATTTGATGGATTTTTATGTGAATACGTTGAAGTCAGATGTGAAAACTATAATTGCATATCCAAAATTGCTTCATTATTCAGTTGATAAAAGGGTTCATGCAAGGTATATGGTTTTGAAGGTTTTGCAGTCAATGAAGCTGATCAAAGAGGACAAGAAGATTGTTTGGGCAATAGTATTGTCTGAAAAGAAATTTTTGGAGGAATATATTACTAAGCATATGGACAAAGTTCCAGATTTGTTGGATGTGTACCATCGTGCTGTTAAGCAAAGGAAAACAATCAGGGGCAAAAGAGAAAATTTTGATCCCAAATCCACAAGTTTGGCTCTGTAATTCAGAAACTACCTAGGTATTCCTTTTGACTTGTTCCTAATGTATTGCGGCGCTGTCAGTTTGATCTTGTGAATTCATCTTTGTCGCCATTGTCTTTTTCTTTGTTTTGATATTGGTTTACTTAAGGTCATGGTTCTTTTGTTGTTTATGTAATCACTAATCAGTGGGTCTCCAAGCAACTCTTTGATTTATTTTTAAATTTTAACTCTTGCTTTTACTGGAATTCCTGTGGGTATCCTTAATAGCCTGAAAAAGTCATAATTATTTAGCTTCATATCTTACTGGGGATTGAGAAAAATTATGTTCTGAAGTCTTCATATCTGAGAAAATTTAGGGCCAGTTTAGATTCAAAACATTTTTTCCATTTTGCAATCTTTCAATTTTTACTATTTTTATTGTATTTGATGAAGTTAGTTGTTCTTTTTTTTTGTTTTTGTTACAGTGTTGGAAGCCTGTGATTTATAGTTTTCGAGCAAATTGAGAAACTCTTAAAAGATGCTTCTAAAATGATTCTGATTCTTCTTCTGAAAAATGGAAACCCAGGGTTTCTAAATCCAGATACTAAACTTATAACACCTTTTTTCAATTGTATATAAGATAAGAAAAATGAAGTTTGAAAATGAAAATCATTTTCCAATACTAAATGTGCCCATGTTTTTAAGTTTCTATTAGCAATGTAATGTCAGTGAAAGCTGTAGTTAAGAAAAATGAAGTTTGAATCAAAATTATGAGATTGGTTGCTCCTATTAGCAGTGTAATGTCAGTGAAAGCTGTAGTTAGTTTTGGCTTATTTACGACTTCATGTCATTCAAACTCTTTATCTTGCTGTTCCTTCCATGATGGAATTGGAAAAGGGTTGGAATGCATTGTTGTAGACCTTTTCTTCAGAAAGTTGTTTGTAGCTCATTGTTTGTAAATGCTGAGAACTCGGGTACGTGGTGGCTGCTTGAAAATCTTAAATCTTGTTCTGTACAGTGACTCTTCTTTTGTACTAAGCTACTGGGTGTATTGTTGGATATCTTGTATGTTAAATGGGAAATAATTGGAATTCCCAGTACTCAGTGAGCAGTTATGTCAGCAAAGCAAGCTGTTCAGTAATTGGAATGCTCTAGTTGCCTTGTGTATTTTTATCATTTTTTTTTCTAGAAAATCTTCATGTTTATCTGATTAAAATCCCCATTCATCCTTCCACATATATTCAGAGATTGTCCATGATGTTGGGGAAAAATATTTCTCTGGAAGATCCACATCAATTTCACCAATAGGTTAACTATTTGACTCCATATTTGAAGAATGTGTTTATTTTGAAATAAAAATGTATTGAACCAGGCTTACTAATATAATCCCATTAATGAAAAATGGATAGTGGACCAGTTTTGTGGTCAATTTGACTGAAATTAGGGTCATCACTGGAATTATAATTGTTAAGAATAACTGATCTTGTTTGTTGCAAAATATAATACAAAATAAGCCCCTGCACAGCCTCATCACCAGGCAACTGAGAGCAAATCAAACAAAAGGCAAATCTGAAGCTTGTGATAGTGAGAGTAAGCCACCTGCAAAATCCAGTTGCTGCAGCATTAGCACTCAAAACCCAGAAACTATAGCCACATGAGATCCTTGGCATCCACCAAAGAAACAACATACACCACCCCCAAACGTTCAAGAGGTTAAGGAACCTCCTGACAACAGCCAATGATAACTCCACCCAATAAACCCAGCATGATAAATCCACAACTTGGCAGCTAGCATCATCTTCGATGTTTGCAGCTGGTGAAGCCCTGCTGGACTGAGTAGCTTCAGAATTAACCCACAAAAGATCTTGAGGTGCGAGGTTGTCAGCTGCCTCATTGTCTGGTCGAGGTATGTCTTATTTGCCATAAATGAATACTTTCAAGAAGTTTCATAATTTGAATCGCGTGCCTCCTTGGTCTACAAGGAACCTCTTATGGCTTTGAATCCACCTAACCGCATTATAAGAATCAGATTCAAGAGAAGCATAGCCTCCTTAACAGCAAGGAGCTCAGCCATGTTAGAATCAGATATCTCAATGGCTTCGGAGAAAAGGATGAGCGATTCTCCATCGTCATTCCTCAATATACCCTTCCGTACCTGACTCACAAGGATTACCTCTAGAAGCCCCATCAGTGTTGAATTTGACATATCTTTATTGCAATGCACAATCAAGACAGTAAATAAAAACAAATCTAACATTAACTGACCAACAATATAATGAATTCCACTATATTAACAAATATTTCAGTACAAGTTAATCATTTTATTAGATGGTACAATAAACAAGCAGACATGTGCAACACACACATATAATTAAATAAGTAATTAATTAATTACAAAATTGCTCATGATTCCAGAAGCAAAAAACAATGTTACCATTTGCCACTGGAAGCTACCATAAATTAGTTGAGATGAGACATACTTATTAAAGAATAATTACGCTAAATTCTAACACAGCTTTTTAAAAAGGAAAAAAAATGATATTTAGGATGTGTGTGCATCTATGTATATCAATATATATATATAGCCGATGAGCATATATTTTGAGTAATTATTTTCATTTTCTTTATTTTAATAATTTTTCATTAATAGTTTGACACTTTATTATGGTTTTTAAAGTTTGGCACATGCATGCATATATTGTTTATGGTAATCAAATTTTCTTAATTTTATTGAGAATTGTTAGCAAAAATACATAAACTTTATTATTATTTTTGTTTAAGAGAACGAAAAGAAAGCATAGTACTTGTTGGAAGAATAAAAAAATTCATTGTTGGCTAGAACATAATCACAACAGCTCTTACATATCAGCAATTGTAATATTGGCAAAAGTAAGGTGAAATATTACAACTCCAATTTGAATATATGGCAGACAATAAACCCTAACTCTCATGTGATCATCTCTCTTATGATCTCAGTTGTTTTATCCCCACGATCATTCTTTCTCAATGAACAATTCTTAAGTGGTAATTCTTAAGTGGCAAGCTTTATTACCACATAATTTAGCTTATGATATTGATGTCCTTAAAATAACACGTCAACATATCATGTGATAATGACATGGTATAAAAGTGTAAATTGTACCATTAACTAACAGAAGTTAATCAATAGTTAAAGAGAGGAGCTTATTTGACTCAAAATAAAATTTTAGAGACTTAAAGAACACAATAAAAGTATAGGTACTCAATTGATTTTTTTGCTATAGTTTAAGGGTTTATTCAGATATTTAGCCTTGACTATACATACACTCAAGCCTTTACCACTTCATGGCCATCTAATTTTTTAAGGAATAAATTAAGTATGGTAAGAATCAAAGATAAAATACCATAAAATCCTTATTAAAGAGAAGAAACCAATTCTTATAATACATTTAATTTGAATTAATTACATATTTCGTATTTAAATTATATACAGTCAAAAATTGGATTTGTTATCTAAAGTTGAAAAATATGCAATGTCGAATTTGACTTTGATTTTGTTTACCAAATTACATATTCTACTAATTTTATTAGCAAACATTTCACACACATGTTTAAAGAGGACGTATCCAATAACATTTGGTAGTATATCAATCTCCATATATAACTTGTTAGATCTTTAAAATTTGCAGGTTTAACCAAGTTTTAATGTGATGGGTTTAATTAGCTTACCAGGTTTAACCAACACGGCAATTGAAAGAAATACTAGAAACAACAAACCAAGGTCCTCAAAATTCGCAGGAAGAGCAAAGTCCATAAATTGGTAACACCATTCTGATTCTCCCACCATATAAGAATATGACTTATCATCCTTTTTCTCGGGAAGTTTCAGGAAATTTAATAATAAGAAAAGAAAATTTTAGAGAGCAATTCATCTGCTATGCATACAGATTTTGATGATGATTTTTTTTTTATATTTGGAAGAAAGAGGATTCAAAATTTATTCTTTTTAAGAGGAAAATCATATATTAATTAATAAATTAAATATTCGACTGCTTGCAAGTGATGGTCTTGCACAAGATTCATATCATAGATTTGCATCAGACTGCATTCTCTTTAACCCTGATACTGGAACACCCGCTGCATATTGTACTGCTAGTGCTACTGCAGGAATGGTAGCCATGATAGGTTTGGTTATCAAATTTCTACAATATTGGCTATTGCTTTGCATAGACACAATGCTCTCCCAAACTTGCATAGACACAATGCTTATATACTAGTTTGCAGGCATACAGGTTACAGAGTTAGGTGAAGCTGCTTTACAAATGATTAAGTCACGAAGTGCATATGATTTGGCTTTATGGTTTTTGAATTATTGTTTTTGGCTCACATGCATGTCCCATATTCAGATATGTCCCATATTTAAAGACAGTCAATAATCCAAAAACTTGAGAGGCCTCCAATGAAAACAGTAATGTTGGACAGTAAACAGAAATGAATATGTACAAAGGATTTCTATTGAAAATATAATTAGTTAAGTCAATAATCTCATTTTCTAGAAACAAGAGTAAAATATTGCTCAAAGATGACATTTCTAAATTTTTTAAAGCAATTTCGAAAATGTTACACGAGAAAATAATGTTAAATATCTCAAATTTTCATTGTTGAAAGGATTTATGAATTTTCACTATTTTAGGAAGAGCTTGCTAATTTTTAAAAGTGATTATCTAATTGATGCATGTTAAAAGAGCTGGCAATCAGTCAAATTTGTCCAAATCAACCATCTTCATATGGATTCTTTTCAATTTGAATTATTCTAGATATTTTCGGATTCAAATTGTTTTAAATTTAAATCATTTAAGATTCATGTTATTTTGAGTTCAAGTAAATTTCAAATCAATTTAGCATCTATATAACTTATATAACTTATATAAACACAATATTCCAAAATAATCATTCGATTGGATCAGGTGGCAATCACTTCTATTTTTCAAATCATTTTAGGGGAATTTACTATTAATATAAACACAATATTCGAAGATCAAGATCAAGAATGAAGCTTGACCTAAAAATTGATATCTCAACAGATTTTCATGACCTTCGAATGATAACATAGATCTAAATCCATAGCTGAAGGATCCTTCAATGATTTTCAAACAATATCTTCAATGATCTAAATCCATAACCATGGAACTTAATTGCACACAACAGAAAAGCTTGATAGATGTTTGATTCCCACAGATCGTCAAGTTCATACAGCTTGGTTGAACTCACTCAGGAAAGACATTACAAATGCGAATTAATATTCATTGTAAAAAAAACTAAAATAATGATAACTGGATAAAGTAAAAACAAATCAAAAAAAAAAAAAATCAGCTCTGCTTTTCCCTGTTTCTGTTTTGGATTCATTAACAAGGAATAAAAAGGAACAGGGTTTGCAATGCTGATTTACATGATAAAAAATGCACAAACTGAAAGCAATTTATGGTCATGGAACTGTGCCATCTAATGCAGTAGTCAGAGCTTTACATAAATGTCGTGTTTGTTACTAATCCAGCAAAACAATTGTATTTAATTCGAACAATAAATAATTCCTAGTCAACAGACCCATTTGTATTTAATTGGAACAATTTCTAGCATATTTTACCAGCTCGCACCCTTGCAAGTTGTGAAAGTGTCATGAAATCCAAGAAGATGCATATGATCTGGAGGAAAATCTATTGAAACCTTAAGAAAGGATAACAGAATTTTACGAAGAGAGGTACATGATTTTAATTATGATCATATTATAAATTGAAATATATATTACAACTTGAATTTAAATCTGTAACAA